GTGTTTAGTTTTAGGTTTCTAAAAATCAGGTTTTCCCTTTATTAATTCAATTTTCAGGTTTTATCATCTTAATTAATAATAATATTATAAAATTAAAATAACCTATTTATCCACCATACTACCTATCCCCCACCAAATTTATTTTAAATATGAAGCCCTAAATCAACTATCGTGTCTCTCACCATTTCTCCTCACTCTCTCACCGCCCTCCACCTCCACCGCCACCGCCACCGTCAGTCTCTCCCCATCCCCCTCATCCCTCACTCCCTCCCATTCAGCAGCGTCGCGATATTGCTGTGAATTGTAGCAGCGCCGAACTCGATGAACTTCGAGTGAACTCGTTTCTCTGGTGTAATCCCACCTTTTATCTCGTCTCTTAAGTCTCTGAAATTTCTTGATCTTTTGAGAAATTCACTTTCTGGGTCGTTGCCAAACTCTTTGAACTAGCTCACCAGCTTGGTGAGACTGGACCTAAGCTACAACAAATTCATTGGGTCTCTCCCGAAGCTACCTGCTAACTTTAACGAACTCGCTTTAAAAGCTAATTCCTTAACATGATCTCTTTTTTATTCATCATTCAATGTGTTAACTCAGTTGATGGTGGTGGAACTCGGTGAAAACTCCTTCACCGGAATTCTCGATGCTAGGCTCTTCTTCTTACCATCCTTTCAGTAAATCGATTTAGCCAATAATAGCTTTACATGTATTATCATCCCAAAGCCTCCTACAAACTTTAATAGCCAACTCGTCACTGTAAATCTGAGTTTCAACATGATTAATGGATTTTTACCTGCAAATTTCACTTATTACCCTATGTTGCGGTCTCTGGGAGTGAGTTACAACGAGTTACGTGGACCGATCCTGAAAAAGTACAGCAAGAAGGGCTCATTACAGAGGTTGTTTCTTGATGGGAATTTCTTAAATAGATCTTCGCCGAAAGAATTTTTCTCTGGCAACACGGCAGTTACTGGTAGCTTGGGGGACAACTGCTTGACGAGTTGCTCGATTTCTTCGCAACTCTGATCAAAATCCCTAAACTTGCTTCGATTTACCAATGGGTTATGGTGCGAAACCAAGGTCTTAATTGTCAGTCAAATGCCCTTTAATTTTTTTTTCTTTTTATAGATATTTTACTGTTCTAATTTTTAAATTTCAATTTTTTTTAATCTTTGAACAATCAAGAGTGTATGGACCTACGGCGGTAGTCAGTGTGGTGGTGGTGGTGGTGGCCATCGTTGTTTTTTGTGATTGTTGTGCCGGTGGTTGTGGTGGTGTTACAGGGGGTTGACGGAGAGTGTCTGTAACCAACTATTTGGTCTATCTGTGACCAAGCATTGGTGGTGTACTGAAATTATGGGACGGGTGTTTGGGTGTATGTGACCAACTATATGGTCTGTGACCTTAAAATTCGTTATCTATGACTGAAAATATAACCTGTGGTCAACAAATTTGGAAACATGTAATTTTCGTGACCTATAATTTTTTTGATCAGGACCAATGATGTCAACTGTGATCGAATATTTTTTGATTTGTGATCTTGAAACAATTCGTGACCAATAATTTGATAAGTTGTGATTGAAAATTAATTTTTGTCTAATTAATTAGATATGTGTGACCAAATTGTATATAACTGCGACCTTACCAATTGTCGAAATTGGAGCAGTCGTCGGAATTAGACAGAAGTAGAACGATCACCGAAATACTCGTCGGAATAGTCGTTAGAGTACTTGCCGATCGTCGGAACTATCACCAGAATAGAGTGGCCACCAGAACTATCGCCGGAGTAGTAGGGGTAGGGGTGGTGGAGATGGGGTGGGTGAGATGGGGTGTGGTTAATTTTATTATATTACAATTAAATATTTAATTAATTAATAAAAACCTAATTTTTGTAACCCCCATCACCTCACTACACCACCTTCCCTCCATCTCCGGTACCGCTCCGGCAATGGTTTGGCGACGCTCCAAAGACTATTCCGACTATTACTCCGGTGGCCGCTCCAGTGACTCTTCGGCGATCACTCTGATGGCTATTCCCATGATCACCCCGACGCCCGTTCCGG